GAGGCCGCGGGAGCTTTAAGCCTCTGCTTAGCCTGGGATTGCCCAATTCAGAGTCCGCCACAAACCAGTGGGTCGAAGGCCCTTACAGATGTTGTCAAGCTGTTATGCTGATGAATGGCTTCGGAGCTGTGTGAGGTGCCCCAGAAGAGCAGCCCCCAGGGAGAAAAGCACGCCATTAGTGCGCTTTTTAAGTCAGCTTTGAACCGGCCTTAAATCTCCCAGGGCCACATTTCCCTCAGCTGTTTTGGTAATCACCTTGAACAAACTTATTCAGTTTGTCAATATAAACATTACACATACGTAGATGTGGTTGGCTCAACCCCCTGCAGCCCCTTGAAGCGAACACCTGCCCCCTCTCTCTGCTCTCCTCCTCCTTCCCCTCCCATCGGCCTCTGTCTCTGCCTATCTCCAACAGAAGAAGGGGGCGCCTGTGTGTCATAGTCTTCTAGTCTCCGGGCCTCAGTTTCTTCATGAGAGGTTCAGTCTAGAAAGGGGGTGACAGGAAAATGCGAAAATTCAGCCAACGTGGTCTCCCCTTGTTTCTCCTGGGCCTGGAGTTGTCACATAAGCCCTTTCCCTAGGGATCTGGACAAAATATGGGAAATTCCTCAGAAGCCAGCTCGCCCCCATCACCTTTTGCCATGTGGCTGCTGGTAATGGCAGGCTGGGCAGTTCCTTCCTATAGGCTACAGAAGCACTGGGGTGGGCGGTGCGATGCTGGATGAAGCAGACTAGGATGAGAGCAGCCGCAGAACATCCTAGGAACCTTGCAAGAGGCCAGCCAGCCTTGGTCAGCTATGATGGAGGCAGCATGCACAGCACCCAGGTAAAGCAAAGGCTACACTACACTGCTCTCTGAAGAAGCTGCGGTGTGCTATGTAGTCAACATTTGATGGGGGCGGGGGGGGGGGGAATACATTCATGGATGAAAGGCTGACTTTAGAATCCTGGTCTTGAATCTGCCTATGTTCAATCTGCTCTCACATTCCCATCAGGCCAGTCACCAGGTAGGCTGAAATAATTAGCCAAACACTAAAAGACTTTTCTAGAACATGGGGCGCCTAGGATCAGAAATCTCACCTATGTTGTCTATCGCTGTAATTGTTTTAAGAAAATGAACAAATTTAATACTACCTCTACCTTATCAGATAGAAAAATGAATTCCCCCCACCCTTGCAAAAAAGGTAGAGGCCTGGTCAAAAGAGGAGTCATGGCAGAGCAGGGTCAGGTCCTCAGTTGTCCGGTGGTTCACAAGCCTGGAGTTCTTTCCCCTGGATAGAAGGGCCCCATGGCAAAGTCCTCTCACCTTCCCACAGACCTTCATAAATTCCTTCTTCCCCATAACCTCCAGCATTTCCTCTTCCCCTTTCCAGTGCCAGCTGAATAATCAACCACTGGAAACAGAACCTACAATTATTCTCTCCCCACTGCCCTTCGATCGCTCTCATTTGGGGCTCTGTGACCCCCTTCTCGGGTAGCTGCTGGTTTCCCCCTCAGCTGTTTCCCAAAGCGGGGAGCCAATGTTACAAGTGCCATTGTGGGCCCTGGTCCCCCTGATATGATGGCCAGCTGTACTGAAAACCAGCAGCAGATGGGCAAGGGCCGTCCTCAGGTTGACCGGGCTGGGGTGTCACTAGGATTGCGACAAGTCCAAGCAGAACAGGAGGCCAAGCAAAGAGGTGGGTGGGCTTGAGTTCTGAGAGTAATTGATGCCAGGTGGCCAGGGGGGCCACTTACTTAGCAGGGTCCAACCTAGGACAGCCCCAGGTGAGTCGCAACCCTCCTTTAATTGTTGGATCTACTTTTATGCCCCTGCTTAGGGGGTACCAGGTCATCCCCATCCCACAAACACCATGAATGCTTAAGCCTAGGACCTTAAGATTGGCTGGGGGTCAACAAGATCAAGGGAGCTTCGGCCTTCAAGTTCTACAAAGCTTATCCCTGTCAGGGGGAACCAAAGCCTGGGTAGCACCTGCTCAATTTGGTTTCATAGGTCACTTGGGTTCTGCTTGCGGAGGAAGCCAGGCAGCCCCACCTTCACCTGGGAAGCATCCTCTATGCCTGACTCACCCGGGAGCTCGGGCCCAGCTGGGACAGGAAGGAAAGTAGAGGGTGGGGCTGCTCTGGAGCATTCCCACTGGAAGAGCGCCCCTCCTGCTTCCAGCTAGCTAGGCCTGGTGCTTCCCTGACTGCACAAGAGGATGAGGCCCAAAAGCAAGACAAGAGGCAAATGGGGGCATGGGGGGTACTGGAGTCACAGGCCGCTTCACTCTCAGGGAGCTTCTATGTGTCCTTATGCCCCTCTTCACCAGGTGGACACCTCTGGGGGAGTTACAAGCACCTTGAAGGCTTTCAGTTCCCTCTGGAAAATACGAGGCAAATCATTTCCCTCCCTGCCACCTTCACAGAGCATCTCTGCAGCTCAGAGAGATGGACTATGTGAGCGATTTGACAAAAGTACCAGGTGGGATCCTGGTGGAGCCCACTATGCCATATGGTGTACTAAGGAGTACGAGCTACAGCATGCATAGCAGGAAACAAGCTTCCTGGGATTGGGTAGACTGCCCAGACTTCGCTTGGTCTTCTACTAAATTTTTCTTTATATCCCCACATCTTACTCCAGGATTGTAGTCTCCACCACCACCACCCCCGCCCCGCCCCACCCCAACATGACTGAGGCAAAAGCAGATTAGGGGACCACTAAAGCGCACTTTATTGGGGAAGTATAGGTAAGGCTCAACCCGACCTGAGGTCAGTCAGATGCTAATCTGTCCAGAGCTAGTCCTGGACAGAGACCCTCGGCCCAAGCTGGGCCCCACTCTGGGCAAGCACTCAAATAGCAGAGGCCTGATCTGATCCAAGCACTTCCTTTGGTTAATGAGAAACCAAAGAAACAGACTCTGCCCCAGCTGGCTCCAGCAGCACCCCAGGCTGGCCCAGCCCTATTCTAGCCCAGCCTCTTTTCTCTTCTCTCCCTTTTCTGTACGTTCCCCACTTCTCCGTGAGCTGGGTCTGTTTAGTGCCTGCTCCCCTAGGCTTCCTGCTCTGCATCCCTTCCTCACCCTCCTCTTCCTTCCTCCTCCTCTTCTCTATCACCTTCTTACCCATTTTTAGCTGGTGGGATCTCACTTGTCCTCCTCCCCTGATATCTGTCTTAGCCACTGCCAGAGGCAATCCCTTGATTTGGGCCTGCAGGAAGCTCTGGGCCCTGCCAGTCTGCACCTCCTGCCATAGGATGGAGCCAAACCCTCTTTAGGGCCCTCACTACACTCTGACCTGAACAAGTTGGTTCCTCATTGGCCTGTAGAAGGGAGCCCGAGCACTCAGGGTTGCTCTAGCTTCGGGGCCTTCACTTCCAGCCAGAAGCCATCAAGTATACCATGGTGGAGCCTCTGGTGTGGCTCCATTGTGAATGCAGGAAAAGGAGGAGGGTTCTGCCTGAGAGGCAGAATGGGCAGTCTGAAGTCACCCTAGTGCCCAGTGGGCCATCTTCTCATGCTGTTTCTCTCCAGCTCCAGGCATCCTGGGGCAGGACAGGGCTGGGCCTGCCAGCAGGTTCCACATTTAGTCCCAACCAGCTGATGGCAGTACCTGCAGACACACCCAGGTTCCCCATGGAAACACCCCCTCCCCATCAACCCTTTCTGGCGGAGCCTGGTGCCAGACTGGGCAGGTGCCTATGGCCTGTGCCACAGAGGTGACAGGATAGACAGGATGGATGGATGAATTCAGGCACCACGACAGTGGAACAAGGAGGCAGAGACACTCAGGAGGTGGAAAGTGGCAGGGAGAGCATGGGTGATTGAAGCAGCTAGCTTCTCAGGACAGCCAGCTGCCCTGCCTGCGGTTCGGCAAAGGCGATCTCTCGCACGCAAGTGCAGGCAAATGTACAGACACACTATCACACCTCATTCCCTGACAGTATGACACTAGTTCACACTCATTTCTCCATGTGGTTAATTTTTTTTTTAGTTCTCATTTTTTTTCTAAGAAAAAAGCAACAAGAAAATAATTCAGAGTTTATACAAAACATCTTTACATTATTTCTTCCAAAAAGACTAGTATTTACACAAATGGCAACAGAAACAAAAACAAAAATCCCTTCCGACTGCCACCTGGAAGGGGCTGGCTGTTTTGCTCCCTCTCCCACCTGGCACTGGGGTGGGCAGCTGGCCAGGAGGCAGTGTGGAGGTGGGTGGTGTAAGGCCCAGCTCCTTCCATGGCAGCCCTGGGAGTGCCTGCAAGGTGCGCTTGAGTGGCAGTCTGTTAGCAGCCAGGCTGGCAAGGAGCTGGGGTCAAAGTGCACTGCAGGCTGGCCCAGCCCCAAGCAGCCTCTTCCTCTTTCCAGGCCCCAGCTCAAAACTAGGGGGGTCGGTGGGAGCCAAACTGAGTGAGTGGGGTGTGTGTGTGTGCTTACTCGTACTACAGCCCAGAGAAGGAGCAAGCCACGTGGCCTTACACCCGCTTAGATCTCCTCCACCTTGGACCTCTGTTTCCCCACAGAACCAAAGATGCCAAAGGTGAGGAGAGAAGAGGGTGGTGGGGGGAAACTCCCAGCTCTGCAGGGCAAATAGCCACCTGGGCACCTCACCTCCCTCCACCCCCCATGAGGTCATCTGCCTGCAGCAGCTCTCCTGTTCCCCAGGCAACAGCCAATTAAGACATTAATTACCGTGAGAGTGAAGGAGGCAGGAGATGCCCAAGAATCCCACAAGGAAGGGATTTTTTTTTTTTTTTTGGTAGAAGGGTGGTAGTCACTACCCCACTGCTAGGAACAGCATTGTATTATGAGGGTCAGAAAAGGAGGGTGGGACACCTAGCCCAGCGGCTCTCCCCTCTTCCCTTACAGGCAGAACTAGCCCTGGCGTGCCCTCCCCCACTCCCCTGAAATACTGAGGAGTCTATAAAAGAATTGCCACCCTATGCCTCCTGACTGGCCACATCCTGCCCCAGGCCCTCTTCTGCTGGGTCAGGCCAGGCTCAGAGACCTAGGCAGGAGCTGCCTTGCACATTTTTCCATTTTTTTTCAAAAAACAGATGAAAATGAGTTGACAGCTAAAACAAATGAACACAAAAGCATTAAAACAGTGACGATAGTGGACAAGCAGTCCTGGGAATGGGGAAAGGGGATGAGGAGGGGGCAGGGCCAGGGGGCTGCCTCCCTGCCTGCAGTCCATCAGTGTCCAACCCTGCCCTCCAAGAAAGGGCGCCCCCACAGAGCCCAGAGGCCTGGCCAGAGGGGGAAGGCACAAGAGCATGGGGATTAGGGGCACAAGCACCCCCCTCCGAAGCCCAGAGGGCAGGAAAACTGGGGGATTATAAAAGCCAAGAAACTACAAAACTAAATACAAAGGTGGGCACAGCTGGCAAGGGGAGGGGCATGGGGGAGAAAAGAGAGGCCAGTCCAGGCCATGTGTCCTGTGGAGCCTGAGGCCACGCCGGGCCTTCAGACCTTGTAGTAGATGTTCGCCGGGCTCTGAGGTGGCATCTCCTGGACGATGTAGACAGGATGCCCGTAGTCCCCACTCACCTTCTCATAGTGGGGGCAGTAGTTGTTCTCTGTAGTCCGTAAGGGGATGATGATGTCGCTGGGCTCAGTGCCTGCTGTACCACTACCCCCCTTGGGGCTGGCTAGGGTACTGAGCGAGAGGGCAGCCGCCCGCTGCTGGGTATGCTTGCGATGGCGCTTGCGGAGCTTCAGGAGTAGGACTGTCAGGAAGATGATGATGAGCAGGAAGATGACACAGCCAGCGCCCACAGCTGCAAACAGCGCTACCTTGGAGTTAAAGAAGCTGTCGGAGTCTCCGCTGCCACCGCCACTTGCACCTGGGCCACTCTTCTCTTCCTGGTTCACAGTCTCTGAGGAAAGGGAAGGGAATAAGTTGTCAGCCAGCAGAAGATGATGCAGTCAACAGAAGGGCTGCAAACAATGCTGGAGCTGAAGAAACTCTCTGCGTCCCTGTGCCACCCATATTGACCAGAGATAGACGGCAAGTCTCGGGGAGGGGGAGGGCAGCAGGAACTTCACACACGAGACCGAGAGGGTGCACAAGCAATGCCCTCTGCAGAGTACCTATATATGCTTACCATGCTTGCCGTCAGAGTCACCGTGGGATCCCCGACCAGGGGCCTGCGTGGCTGTCTTGACAGTGTTGTCTGACTCCTTGCTTGGCCGACTGGTAGTCAGCTGCTCCGGTGTCACGGCATTTGGATCTGTGGGTGGAGAAGGTATATGAGGAGGACTGCCGGCATGGATGCCCTCAGGTACCTCGGGGGGTTAAGATCCACCTGAATATTAGACCTCTGCTCCTCTAGCCCGACCACTTCCCCACTACTCAACATGCCCCAACCAGCTGCCAATACCAAAGGCCTAACTGGGCACTCACCTTGCCCAACCTTCATAACGATCTTCATGGTGCGTGTACGGCACACACCTCCCTCCCGGTTCTCCAGCCCTTCCAGGCTCCCATTGGATGTTGCTGCAGGAAAAGACCAGAGAAATGAGAAACTGGAGTTTTCAGTGTATCTTGTTTTTCCCCCTTTTTTGACAGGATCATCAAGAGAGAGCCAGAGAGCCAAAAACAGCCACTGGGAGTGGATCATGGCAAACAGCTCTTACCTACTCACCCAAACCCTTCTACTTCCTTCCTAATAGGAAGTAACTCAGTCTTGCTAGGCCCATGAGCCCCTCTGCTAAGGTCATCACTCCTTGTGGGCAGGCCTAGATTCTGGGGGCAATACTAAGATGTGCCTTCTCATTGAGAGATGATGCCCAGACCAAAATAAATGGAACTGGTAGCGCTAGCAGGATTTTTTTCCTAGTTAGGAAGGAATCCTAGGTAAGTGTGAGGAGAGCAGGCTAGAGCCTCCATCTTATCCCATCAATTCCTTGTATGATATGAGGCAAGGTGTCAATGTACCTCTTTGTGGGGTCAGAGGAGGAGGGCACTGGCTAAAGACTGAGTCACATGCTAGTCATGTGACATGCTAGTCACATATTACCACTGAGCTACATCCTCAACCCTATTCACCTCTTGGGGCCCTAGCGCCACCCCCCCACAAAGGCAGAACAGCTGGCTGACCTCAAAGGATTCTGCCAGCTCTACCATTCCCAAGAAAGAAAGAGCAACACGGATAGAAGTCTTTTTCATGCTTGCCCTGGAGCTGAGGCGAGCTGCCGTGTGCTGACTGTTGGGGCTAGAATTCCGAGGCCAGGCTTCCAGGAGGGCATGCTAGTGTCTTCAAAGGGGATCAGATCAGGCAGCGTTGTAAACATACGCATGTGGCATCCCTGTCCCACTCAGAAGCTGCCACTACTACCCCATAGGCAAGGGGGCAGCAGGAAGGCAGAGCGAAGCCTAGTGAGAGACAGAGCGACAGGTGGGTAGGGACTTACACGTAATGTAGTAATCGTGAAACTTTTTGAACTCCAGGCCCATGTAGTTGGGGCTGAACTCCTGGAACTTAATGGTAAAGCGAATTTCCTGCTGTGGCTTGTTGCAAGTGACCAGTACATTGGGATCAAGCACAGTGCTGCAAGCAGCTGCCTGCTCTGGCCGCACCAGGTACAGCTTGTAGTACTCGTAGGGCCGCCCTGCTTCTGCTCGGGGGCAGATGATGTCCAGTTTGTCTCCAATCTTCGGGTAGATCACCAAGCCCTTCCCACTTAGGAACCTGCCCAAAAGAAAGAAAATGGTCAACCTCAAGGTTGGGATCTCTGGCTACCCCCAAAACCAGGGGTTATGAAAATGAAGGCCAGACCAGTCTTACTGGGTAGAGATATCAAATCAGCCTTCTGTTCTTCCTCTATCCTTAGGCTGGGGGTGGGGGTGGGGAGAAAGAACCACACTGCCAGCAGGGTGTGGAAGGGGTGGCCCATAGGCAAGGCTGCCAGGCTTTCAGTGCTTTGCAGGGTGGGGCAATGCCTGGCTAGGGGAGCCCTTTGTCCTAATGGGGCATTTCCGCAGGGGGGCTGACGTGGCCAAATGGGACAGGTACCAATGTGTCAGGCCCAGGCTCCCTGGAGGTGGTTCCCTGTTCCCCATACTTCCCAACACACTCACATTCCTTCAAAGGCCACTACTACTATTTACACACACACACACACACACACACACACACACACACACACACACGGCAGGGGGTAGGCAGGGGGGAGGCAGGGGGAAAGAGAGAGAGAGCAAGCCCACACATGTCTTAGCCACCACCCCCGCAGCTCCCAGCCAAAGGCTAGAGGAGCTCAACCTGCCTGGGACCTCCCCCCCACTACCACATCTTACTAATCTTGGGCATGATGGGGAGATAGGAACAAGCAATGAAGCCAGGATCTGATGGCCACCATCTCTGGTTAGGAGCAGCTCTATCATATCATTCTGATGATGCACCCCCATCCCAAGAGCCTAAATCCCCAAACTTGACCAGTTTCTCACTCAACATGACTAAGGGAAGTAAAAAAAAGAAGGGTACTTCTACCAAGGACAGCAGGTAGAAGACAGGATCGCCTACATACCTGTCATCTAACCTCTTCCTTCCACACTGCAGCTACTACAGATCCCAAGAGGAGATGACTAAATGCCTTGGACCAGGCTTCACTGTCTATCTGGAAAGCACAGTAAAGAAATGAAGCTCTGTTGGCCATTTCTCAGCTTGTTCAGGCAGAAGCCGGGAACAAAGAGAAAGAACACATGTTGGAACCAAATTCCAAAGCTAGGCGCTTAGTAGCTCCATAGTCTTGGGCGAGCTGCACAGTCTCTTTGAACTTGCTTCACTTATAAATGAGGGCCCCTCACTCCTAGGACTGGGGGTGGCTGAGAACCTAGAATGCAGTAGGTACTCAATAACATTGAATCCATCTCTGAAATAGTCCGCCAAGAAGCAGGAGATCAGATACCAACATTAAGTTCTGTGGTTTCTCGGGCAAGATCTAGGAAGAGAAGATACACCTTGACTCTCATGGACTTGATTATCTGGTTTGGTTCCAAAAAGTAAACAGCCTACACTCTAGCCATAGACAGCTCTAGGCTATCTGCAGGTTACATGTGAAGATGGTGCTTCACATACCCAGGGTGGGAGGCATCAAGAGACATCCCATCTGACCATAACACTGCAATGCTCTGAGATGGTTTCATACAAAGATCAGGAAGAAGGTGGGCACTAGGTAAATGATAAGACGTCAGTGCATAGCAACAGTGGACAGCAATGGCTGAGACAAAACCCAGGCCTGCTGATGACTCACTCAGCCCGCACAGGAAAGAGTGGAGAGCATCAAAAGAAGTGAAATAGTTATCTAGGGCTGGAAGAAATTCCTCAAGGGCCATGGCAAGCAGTGTGGGCTTCATCCCCTCGGTGACAGACACCCTAACAGAAAGGACAATGGAGGCTGAAAGGGATGCATACAAAGAAGAGTGTCGTTGGGGTGTTGGTGCAGAACCCCAGTTCACAGGTTCCTACAATGCGGTTCCGATTGGACACAGCGGAGACAAGTGTACTGAGCTCTGGGCAGATGTCCTCACATTGTCAAACATGTGCCCTTGTCCTGACACCTCACTAGGCAGGGAGGGGATTTGACTAAGTGGCTGAAGTAGATGGAAAAAATAAACCAAACCCTCCATGTCCTGTGATGTTCTACAAAGCTAAGAGGTTCCATCTTGATGTACAGGAGGGTCAGTGCCAGAATGGGACACTTCATCCTTTGGTCTCTACCTCTCCAGTTCTTCGGCGGACAGAGAGTAAGCAAACAGGACATGGAGGCCCAAGGAAACATTTGAGATGGAACACCCCATCATCCATGTGCCGTACGAAGCCCACAAGTTTCACCAAAGCCTCTACTTCTCAAGGCATTTTTTGCTTTCCTCTGGTTCTCCCCGGGTGGCAAGAACAGACCATTTTTAACATTTCAGAGCTCAAAGGAACCCTAGAGACCCAGCCTAGACTCTTAATATGAAGAAATAAACGATCAGAGAGATGTTCCCATTCAGGAAAGTTGCTGAAATCCCTAGGGCTCTAACAGGACTCAACGGTGTCTGATCCTTATACAGCTGCACTGCAGCACGACATGGAAGTGTAGCTATGCAGATGACACGGAGGCCAGCTCACTTCCTAACCACTGGGCCGCAGCTTTCTCACCAGAGAAATGTGTCCTCTCTAATACACTCTTTCACAGCTACCCACCCAGACTCCAGAGCCCCAGCATTCGGCAGGGCTTTTTAGCTACTTGGGGTTCTACTTTGAACCCAGACACATTGAGGAAACAGATGTCTGCTTGGTGGGGGGAGGGGAAGAAGAAAGGACTATTGCCCCCAACACCCCTCAGAGTGTCTCCAACCTCAGTGAACAGACTTCATAAATATTCATCAGCTCATTTACATAGCAGCCGGCAGAAGAAAACTCACCTTCTCCTAAAGTGTGGAAGGGAGAGGAATCTAATGAGGCCTGAATCCCTGACCCCATCCCACACTTTCTTAGCATCTTCCTCTAACTGGACAAATTTCACTTAGGCCCATGAGAAGTCCAAGACAGTACATGGGATCACAACGAGGGTTGAGTGAATAGCCAATGAAAGTGAAGCCCAGAGCCAGGCAGTGTTTGTGATACTTTATAGGGACACCCTACCTATCTTCCCCCTTTCTCACTGAGTGGGAAAAGAGGAAAAGGAACAGGCCCCTAACGTAAACTCTTTAGGTACCACCTTTCAGAAAGGACTGTCCCCCGCCCCCCCATCATCAAGCCAAGCTTTCCTGCCTGGGGCCACCCCCAGACAAAGCCCTTTTCTAAAAAATAAGGGGATTGACATGGCCCTGCAGGAAACCTAAAGCAGGTCACCATGGCAACCCGAGGCCTTTCCTGCCTAGTCTCTGATAGCCCTGGGACCCCAGGGAGCCACCCCAGGGAGTAAAAGGACTTTAGGAAGGCAGTTGGAACTACTTCAGCTCCAGTCCTGCGACTGCCCTCTCCCTAGCCCAAGTCTCTCCCTCATCCGATCTGATTGGAAATGCCGCTGAAAACTACGCAAATCCCGAGCTATGAAAATCCCACGGGCTCTGGGGACAGTAGCCTCCGAGGCCCTGAAATGATGAGACACTAACAGCCCTCACTAATAGCCTTCAGCTCAGATGCACTCGTCTCTACCTTCCTGTATGTCACCTATACTACAGGGGACGAGCTCGCAGCTGGGACCCTTCTGCCTAGAAAGCTATTCTTGCCCCACCAGGCCTGTCTTTCTTCCCTCAACCTCTTGCTTGGGCTCTCCCAGAGAGGTTTCAGTGGGAGCCCAGTTCTCAGTCCTGCAAGTCTAAATGCGGTAGGAGACTCCCGCCACAATTTTAGTTTGGTGACCCCACCACTACTAGGCCTGTTCTCACCCCAGGATAGTAATACTGATGAGGGACAGACCCCAAGCCAGAACTCAAGTCTGCTCTCATCCCAGCTAGGGTGGGGAGCCCCCAAATTAAAGGCTCCTCTTTCACTCCCCCTGCTCCACCCAGCCCCCGAGGCAGCAGGAGCAGGCCTGGCGTGTCCCAGCAGTGCCCGCCCAGGCGTGGGTGGGCAGGAACAGCAGCTGGGCCCTGGCACACACACAACTCTGTCGGAGGCAGGCAAGCCAGAGAGTCCTGGAGGAAGTCACTCTCCCCACCTACATGAACTATGCCCGCCTCTTTGTCCCACCTGATCAAAGCTGGTCCACTGGGGTTTAGTCTTCCCCCTGCCATGTTTTCCCCGCTCCCCGCCTCACCTCCCAGAGTTCCTAAGAGGAAGAGATTCCTGGCCCAGAGAGAAACCAAAGGAACTACTCAGAGCTGGGAGGGGCAGCGTGCTGGTTGGTGAGTTGGGCTAGGTCACCTGTGCAGGGTGCCCTCAGAGCTAAGCCTAGGGAAGGTAAATGAAGAGGCTGGAACACTACTTACCCTACAAGAGGCAGGGCCTGAGTTATACACAGAGCAGATGCAGGCCCGCCTGGGAGGTGAGAGGGGAGAGCCCAGGGGCAGTAGAGGTCTCTTTCCAACCCTGATTTGAATTCCTATTCCCTGCAGCAGGCCAGCCTGGAAAGAATGGCACTCGGCACAGCTCTCCCCGATTCAACAAGTCAGTTCCCCTTCCTGGGCATATGCCTCCTTCTCTGGAAAATGGGGCCAAGGCCGACTTCCCAGGGCTGTTGGGAGCACCCGATGAGATCATATGTGAGAGTACATTGTAAGAAGCAAGGTACTACCTGCCTATTACTTAGCATGCCAACCACAGTAGCGTTCAGAAGAAGCAAGGTGAAAATGCTCCCACCTCTGGCTTGCTGGCACCCTGACCCCAAACCACCACCACAGAAACATCCTAGGGAGAAGGGTCTTTCACAGTCTTAAAATGCAGCTGGCGCGCAGCCTCCACTTCAGATCCCCTTTTAACCACAGAGTGAGCTAGCGCTAGCCCTCAAACCTGGTATTCCCATGGCAACCAGCAGCCTTCTGGTTGGCCCACTGACCCCATACATAGATAGCCCTAACCCCAGAAAAGTGCTGCACTGATCCAGCAGTGCCCAGGGCCCAGCCATCCCCATGCACCCGAGCTGGTAAGGCAACGGAGAGCCCCAAGAGCCCAAGAGAAGAAAGGGAACCCCCAACTAAGGCCTCACCCCAGCTTCCTCATAGGCCCTTGCCTAGCTTCCCTGGGTGGGGTCAGGAGACAGGAAGTCTTAGGAACTGCTGGGTTCCCAGGCCTCTCACCTGTGGCCAATCAGACATAAACTAGAATACCTGACTATTCCGAGAAACTCTGGAAAGGAGTCCCTTGGGCTGGCCTCCCCAGGACTACGAGCTGGAACAGCTGTGAGGGGGCTGGGGCCACCACTTTAGCTTGGAGAAAGCAAGCAGGAGTTGGGGTCTGCAGCTGCCCCACCCATGCTGGATGGAGTCAAGGGTCCTGGATGCCAAACTGAGCTCCCTACCCCACCCCCATTGTGGGAAGGTTTGTAATGTGATCTCAAACACATTCCCAGTCCTTGGATGTGGGGGGACCTGAGTGGGGGGGGCAGTACAGGGTCAGAATGGGACCAAAAGACGGAACTGCAGCAGCTGGACTTGGCGGAGGACTCAAGTGTGAGGCTTACCGGCTGCCCCAAGTTCCCGAGGGGAAGCAGCTGGGGGAGGTGGCTTCCCTGAGACCTTTTAGGCCATGCCCCCAGGCCACGAACATACTTGCTCCAGTTTTCACCAAACCCCAGTGGAATCAAACCCATCTTCTCACCCTTTACTCTTGGGGCACATCTGCCAGGAGGGACCCAGGTGGCAGAAGCTCCCATCACCTAGGGACCACTACCCTGACAGTCCCTAGCAGCAGTTCAAGAGACAGATAGGCTGGGAGTCTTCAGCGGGCTCTTGCAGCTCCCCAGGGCCAGGGCTGCATGTGCCCTGCAACCTAGAAGCAGACCCTATCACTTCTTTATTTTGATTTTTTTTTCTCAAAGAGGAAGCAATTAAGCAGGGTTTATAGGCACTGCGAGATATTTAGAGGGAGGGGTGCCAGCTCCTGACAGGGCTGAGGAGAGGGACCAAAAAGCTAGGAGAGGAAGAGGGGAGGGATAAGAGAAAATGAGCCTGCGAGGGAAAGCACGGGCATGTGCGAGAAACAAAAGGACTTGAGAAAAAGAGGCAGAGAGTGACTAAGAGTGAGAGGGAGTGTGAGAAAGAGGGAGAGCAGGCGAGCCTAGCTGGAGAGGGAGGTGAGCTCCACTCTCACGGGGTGGAGAGGGCAACAATGCCGGCCTGAGAGGGCGAACTCAGGCAGGACCCAAGAAAGCAGAAGGACAGACAGCGTTTATGAGAAAAGCTGTGGCAGCCCAGGGGTTGGGTGCGGTGGCACAGACAGGCCCCCCGAGCCCAGGGCAGTGCCTGGGTCCTGTCCTCCTGCCCTGCACCTGGTGCCAACAAACGCGGATACAGACTGCATTCCAGACCCCTGAGCCTAGATGAAACGGAGGGGGGGGGGGGCACCACCAGGATCAGTCCAAAACTGTTCCCAGAAACTGTTCATTACAGGACACAATCCAGGCAGGTTCTACTGAGTCCAAAGTCAGTCCCATTCCCCACCCCAGGAAGCCTGGCCTCAGCTTGAGCTGGACAGGATGAGAGCAGAGGGGACACAACCTTCTCTAGCTGGTTAACTGCTCTGGAGCTCTAAAGGCAGAGAACACATAAAGAGGGATGCTCTGTAGATCTTGTTTCTCCCAGCAGCCCCAACTCTGCAGGAGAGCACCTCTCCAGCTGTGGAGTTGCACGGTATCTCAACCCAAGAGAGCAATTAGGTCACTCCCATGAGCCCCTAGGATGGGCTACCCTAGGGGGATTGCAATTCTCCTCGCTAAGGAGCATTTCCAGCCTCCACCCTTACAGAAAAGAACTGGGCACTTCACAAGCTCTCCCCATGGGCTTAATAGCCTAGAGGGGTCCCCAAAACCATTTGAGTCCCAGCAGTTAAGGCACAGTAACCAAAGTGGCTTCTAAGTAAGGTAGAAATCCTTGCCAGTCCCTTTCCTTGTAAGGAGGCAAAATCCTTCACCCTGACCCCCCTTTAGCCACCAACGGGTAATGGGACCCTATCTTAACCCAAAGAGAAAACAAGAAGCCCTCTTCTCTCACTTTTGGGGTGAGAGATACACCATCCCTGGGATTCAAAAGGCAAAGGCAGGCGAGAACCTAGGAAGTTAGCAGGGAGCCCACAAGAGTGGACAGGAGGAAATTCCAGAAACAGAAATATGGGAACATGGAAGGAACAGTCACCCCCCTCCCCCCAGTTTTCCACTAACTGTGTCGTCCACACACTCCCTGGACTTCCAGAAAACGGGCAGAGCAATTATGACCCTGAGTTCCAATCTGAGTCCTAGATGCCAAAAGAGAAAGGGTCCAGAGGTCACAACAGCCCAGAAACCACTGAGCCACCGCCCTGAAAGGTGTGTGTTGTTTAGAGATGGGAGGGGGCAGAGTTAGGAAGGGGAAGGAGAAGAAAGAAAAGGCCCTTCTTTATATCACTCCCCCCCCACCACTGGAGAAATCTAAGCAAGGCTCTCCAATCTTGAGGGGGGGGGTGACTAGAACCTGCCTGGACAGGAATCACGTTCCCCACCCACCTCCCTCGCTGGCTCCACTACCATTCTCAGCCCTGGCTGGCTCTCGAAGAAGCTCTGCTGCCTGGTTCAATTGGACCCCCGACGGGCACAGGATGGAGCCCCCTCCTCAAACAAACCCTCTTCCACTCCGCCCTTCTCCACCCGCCGCCTTTGTGAGCCGGGAAGCAGCGCCCGCCTTTCTACCTCCCCGGCAAAGAGAAATGGAGGAGGGGGGGGGTACTGCAAGAAGAGACGGCAAAGAGAAAGACGGGGAGACAAACAGGGAAGAAAGACAAATGAAAATGGGAGAAGCCAGAGAAGCGATACCCTGGAGTGGCTGTGAGTGAAAACCACCACGTTCCCAGGGGCCCCGGAGTGGGCTGCTTACTCGCCCCCACCCAGCTCTCTGGTGCGCTCTCGAGCGCCCAGACATCCTAATCTGCCTGGTGTGACCATCGCGACTCGATCTGGGACTTGAGGAAGCTAGGGCCAAACCGAAGGGTCACAACACAGTCAAGTGCTCCCACCCCACCCTTCTGCACCCTGCCCCGACTGCCCGCAAGAAAACATTAGGAAAGGCCAGACATAAAACAGGGCGCCGGACGGCCTATGGATACCCCCCCCCACGCACTTGGGGGTGCACGACCTCACCCCGAAGGAGTGCCTCCCACCCTCAGGGACCAGAGCCGATAAGTTACTCACTTAGGGTTAAGAGAGCTCCAGGACACGGGCTCCAGGTTCTTGGCCAGCGGCGTGGCCAGCCGGCACAGCGTTAGCACGACCATCGCCACAAGCCACTTGCTGAGCCAACGCTGCCCAGGCCGGGCCATTTTCCCGGGGGCAGGATGCACTTCAGGATCCCCTGGCGCCTCCTCAGTAAAGCTCGCCTCGCCTGCCCGTGCCGCGCAGCGCTCGGAGCCACTCAGGCGCCCATCCTCCGCAGCCGCCGGCCTTGAAGTACTCCCCTCCCGCCGGCCTCGGGGTCGCTCTCCTGCGCCCGGCTGGCCAGGAGGACTCACTGGGCAGACGTCCCCAACACGGACATGAGCTGCGGCCTCCGAGGACTCTCTCCCCTGGCCTCTCCGCCGCACGAGGCGCGACGGGGGCTCGCCGCCCCCGAGTGATCCCGCCGGATTCCGCTTGGCTCCCCCAGACTGTTTGAGACCTCGAGTCCTTTCCCCGACGGGGTCTCCCCGCAGAGCGCTCAGTGGTTGCCCCGATGCCTCGACGGTCCTGGGATTGTCGCCTCGGGGAAGAAGAGGGGGGATATCTCCCAATAACCCAAGCTCGGTCCCGAGGCTCCCGACGGAGTGAGTCCCCCTAGCACGGACTCCGTTCCTCCGGGCCACAGTGGGACTCCGCGCCGCGCGTCCCACGACAGCTTCTACTTTAGCACCGGCCCCTCTCAGTGTACTTAAAAGACTAGCACGACCCTGCTGAGCAAACCAGTCCCACCAATTTGCACCTCTGAAGCCTCGGCCGGGTAGCCCGGCAGCCCGGTCGCCAAGTCCTTAATCCCCGGCGATTGAGCCCGAGTGTCTGCAGCCAGTGCGAATCTCACACACCCCCCACTGCTGTCCAGCGCGCTTAGACTCCCTCCGCTGCCGCTGAGCTTTCTACTCCCCTGCTCAGGCGAGCACAAGGCCAACCCTGCTCCTTCGAACCAATAGAAAGCTCCGTGACGGGGTCCTTGCCCCATACCACGCCCACAGAGCAGGAAGGGGCGGGGCTTCGGGGAGCTCTTAAGGACGCTGCGCTCTCGATGGCATTAATCTCAATGTGCGGCTCTTGCGGTTATGCTAGTGCCCCGCTTAGTCTGGTTCCCAGGGCGTTCTTGGGAAGCTGGCGCTTTTCAAAAGCTGCTGGCCTGCTCTCTTTTACGCACACCTGGTCACCATCCGGCCCACTGACCTAGACCAGACAAGCCCTGTCCCAAGTATCTCCAGAAAGCATAGTTCTTGCATTCTTTTTCACGCGCGCGCCTACGCACACCCCCCCCACCACCTATGCATACACATACTCGCGTACCAGCCGCAGAATCCCACTGTTCCCACTTCTGTGGCCAAATCAGTCTGTCTGTTCCTGCCAGTACCCACACTCTGCTGAGACCTCTTTCCACCCTCGAAATGCACTCCTTCCTTTCACTGACCACAACAAAAGTGTCAGCTCTGGGTGCTGGAGACTAGGAAAAAGTACTGTGTCCAAAGGGCAACGGGAGTTTATTTGCATCTAGAGACCAAGCCTTTAAGAATCTCATCTTTGACAGTGAGCCCTGTGAGAACACTCCCTATCCCCCAACCCGGGTACACAGATTTAGTCAGTCTTGTCTGAAGGCACACGAAAGGGCCTGGGGTAGGCGAATAGGGACAAAAGGTCAGGACTATACAGAAAGCTCGAGGGTAGAGAGGAAAAGGAGCAGAGCAGAAGCCCTTTGAAAAAGCATAAGCGGGCATCTGGGCCCTGAGATTCCGGACTCCAGCCTTTCCCGGCCTCGGCCTCACCATCTGGGGCTTTGTCTCCCAGCCCTGGCCCATTCTCTCCGCCCCTCCTTGTCTCTTTGCTTATAATTTGGCTCAATCCCATAGCTCAGACCCCCCCCCCCCCCCCCGGTTTGACCTACTCGCCTTCCTCAGGTCCCAGCGGACGTACCCACGTGCCAATGTCTCCCCCTGCTGGCCTTCTGTAGACTTGCAGGCTCCCGGGACAAGCCGAGGCCAGACCCAGAGCTTGCCCTGCAAGCCTGGCACTTGAATTTGAGCACACAAACAGGGACAGGCGTGGCTTTAGCGAGAGGCGCCACTCGGTGTAGGAAAGATTGGAAAGATCTAGGGGAAAGATCTGGATTTGGGACTTGGTTTTTGGGGGTTGCCAAGGATAGAATGACTTCCTATTCATGCTCCTCTATCCCCTCCTTACCTGACTCTTCCTCTCCACTTTTCTTTCTCTTTTTAATGAATCCGGGCTCTAACTTAGGGCCTCAGACTTACTAGGCAAGGGCTCTATCAAGAATTGAATTCTTCTTCCTTCTTGCGGCTTTTCTATGGAGATAATTGATTGAGCGCCTTTCTTTAAAAGTGCTCTGCCATTTATATGAGTTCCATGTCCACCATTTCCCCTGATGGGAGTGGAGCTACGAGTCTCCAAGCACCACCTCTGTAGTTGCAATGTGGTCATCTATGTCGGGCAGGGTAGAAGGGAAGAGGCTGAGTCCCTCCTACCTTTGGAGATGGAGACTTTGCCCCACCCGGTGGCTCTGGGTCCGTAGTCTAGGTTCTCTGTGTTCCCAACTGGACCCTGCACTGGGATGTAAGCGGAACAAAGAGAGATGAGAAAGGTGAAAAGACACGCCAGCAGTCCACCCGAGACACGCCAGCAGTCCACCCAAGACACGCCAGCAGCCCACCTGAGATCCACGCCATCAAGAGGAACCAAGCATGAATCTAAAAGGCAGCCAGCGGCTTGCGGCAGGAACCACCGACGTCAGGCCGTTTGCTTTCCCCACCCTTTGAGGTCAGTTCTGCTGTCCCTGTTTTTACTTCCGAGGGAAACTAAGGCTCAGGGTTGAAGAAGTGACTCTTCCCTGGGGGAAGAGGCTTCGGTTTCTGATGTCTCTATCCCCAGTCTCGTGTACTTTGGCACTCCCATGGACAAGGACATCTCCTGGCCATTCTCTGCACAGCCCAGATGGACACACTGTGGCCCTCTGCGCTTGCTTGCTCTCTCGGTTCATTGACAGTCACAGGCTGGATGGGGGCCTGGACAGCAGCTGCCTTCAGACCACGGCTCCTCACTCACAGGTCTCAGAAGGTCACCAGGCCTGGGGAAGGCCATTGATTTTGTCCCCAAGCTAAAGTTCTTCTCAGACAGGATCATTAGTGCTAAGCCCAGGTTGGCCCCAGAATCTTCCTCTCCATGGCTGCCATGTCCTGTGCCTCTCCAGACAACAGCCCCAAATTAAGTGGGAGCTGCATGGTTGTGATTTTTGCTCCCGGACTTGGGAAACCTGGGAAGCCAGTAGCTTCTGAGTGTGCTGACCTCTAATTCGGGAGGAGGGGACAGTGGAGGAAACGAGGATTGGATTCTTAGGTCCTGACCTGCTCCACACACTGCCCAGCTCTGGTCATAACATGGCCTTTCTGCCTCAGCCTGCCCACGCTAGCCTCAGGGACTTCAGGGCCATGGCCAGACCTACTCTCTGCCTCGGCCAGAGCTGGCCACTGAAAGTTCCCACCCCTGCCAGACCCTGGCAGGACCTCAGTTTGTAGTGATCCAGGTCCCTGACTGAGGGAAACAATTATTCCCTCCGGGAGCCCGAGAGGATCCGTGGGGGAATGCTATTCTCTTATCCAAGCCCTTCCAGTCACCAGACTGCCAGAGCCCACAGCTCCCCAGTCACCATGTCAGCATAAACACGTGCACACCAGGATTCAAGACCACTTGTGTTTCCTAAGTACGGGCCAGGCTAGTGAGCTGAGCAAGCCTTGTCCACGGAAGTGCCAAGCATTGTGGGGCTCCAGGCCCAGGTGTGTAAGGAAACATATGGTAGCAGCAGGAAGCCTCAGGCACTGGACGGCATGTGCGCATGCTCCTCCCACACACACCATGGAGCTGTGCCTTCTGGTCCCAGCTGCTCACGCCCATAGGAGGGAAGGGAGGGGCTAACTTTCAGTTCTATCCCCTTGGGCAAAGCACCTCACATCTGGGGGCTTGTTACTGTTCTTGGCCTGGAGGAATTTTATTAAATGAGATAATGTGCAGACAAGGTTTGGTTAGCGTCTCCCCTGCCCTACCAGGGGGCTTACTCAATGGAAACTTCCTTCTTCCACAGAGCCTCCCATGGAGACGCGCTTATCCCTAGTGACACACCTTTGCTCCAGTCCACACATGCTTTGTGTGCCACGTGCATATTTTCCAGTTCCCCTCTAGTCTTACACACATTCACGTTCCCATCCAAACTCCTGGGCTGCAGCTGGCGGGGCAAGGGCCTGCCCTTCCGGCACCTAGAGTCTAGTCCTTCATCTCTCACTTGTCGGTGCAAAGGTGCCTTCCTCTGGCTGCAGATCTTGTCCTTGACCTTTCTCCCTGCCCAGAGCTAGTTACCCCAGGCCACCCCTCCAGAAAGGACAGAAGGCAGGCCACCTGGACAAATGAGTCTCTAATCACAGCTCTCTGTCACCACCCCAGGGCTCTGGGCTGGGGAGTGGCGTTTAGAGGAGCCACCAGGACCAGCCAGAGGCAACAGCTGGAAAAGCAACTGAAGGGGCAAGGGGCAAGTTTCCTGACTCTAGATGCCATGCCAATTGGCGAACCCAGTGAGTCTGGCCACCCTGTGATCTCAGCAGGCAACTCTGGCACCCCTGGGCTTCTTGTCTGTCCCCTCAAAATACGCTGCATCTGCCTGTACCCTCCTACCATTGTACACGCCCGTGCCCCCCAGGCAAAGAAGAGCCCCAAGCCAGAAAGGGCAGGTGACTGCTGTCACCTGGTGCCACAACACCTCACTTTAGTCTTGCCACATCCCTGACATTGCGCCTTCCCGTTTGAAACAGAAAGCCGGAGGCCCCGAGTTCAGTGTGGCTGCATCCTGTCCTCTGCTCCGCCATCTTGAGTCCTCAAGCAGCTCAGCCCTAGTCCTGCTTACGACCACCTCCATTTGCCTCCTAGCTGAGGGCAGCTCATCTCCAGACTGGGCCCAAGCTAACTTCCCTCCTCCAGGGGATTTCCTGGCTTGTCCATGTGACTCTCCGAGCCACCCCCCTCTTCTTTCTCTACCATCTGTTCCAGGACCCTAGAACTAGACCACCCAGAGCCTGTCCTGGGCAACTTGCTGGGGAAGTACGTTTCACAACAGGGGCCGGGGACTGTCAGGGTGATCCCAGGGGCCAAAGGTTCGACCATTCTTTACCCCTAGCCCTTCTCTGTCCCCACCCCTGCTGTGTGCCTGGTTTATGGGTGTTTGCACTGAGGTCACCTTGATCTGTCAGTTGACAGCCTGGCTCTGGTCAGGCCACTAATGGGGATGACACCAGGAAGAAGAGCCCCCACCAGGTCTGGTCCCTCGCCCTCCTGTGTCTCTCTGTCCCACCCAGTCACATCCCTTAGTCCTAGTAACCTGACCCAAGTCTTCAAGTCCCATTTAGGCAAATGGTCTGCCTTAGACCCAAAAGAACGTGGAAAGGGCATAGAAAGGGCATAGGAGAGCCAGTGCCTAGCAGCTGGGTGAGGCTCTGGCCTGCAGCTAGGGGTCAGGGTTTCTTTGAGACATCACCCCTGGCATCTCAGCCCTCTTGTGTTTCGCCAAGCTGGTCTCAGCTTCTTTTACAAGGTCCTCTGTCCTGCCTGCTCTCTGGTGCAAGAAGAGGTGGCCCAGGTGTGGGGGGAGCCTGGAGCACTGTGGCCCAGGCCACCTGTCGCTCCCTCACTCTGGTTACCTGGGGAATGTATAAGGAGGGGTAAGGCCATTCATCACTGTCTAGGGCTCAGGAATTCAGGGGAAGGGAACAGCAGCTGTCCCTACTTGTCACTGACCCAAGCCTGGCTTCCTGTCTTAGAGGGGGAGGGCAATGGTGTCTGGAGGAACAGCACCTTTGCCCAGACCAAAGAAAACAGCGGACCCAGCAGGCTCCGTGTTT